TATGTAAATTTCCATAATTCTATCTCATGTACAATTAAGATGGCTGCCTTAACTGGGCGGTGAAAGCAACCTGCAGCGTATTTGGGTCTCTGTTGCACATATGCAAAGTACAGAATGCCACGCTCTTCCTTCACGAAGTTACATCGTATTTTGGTACCAGGATGAATAATATCCTGTATTTCAGCATTACGACCATAAGGCACATTAGCGTAGTTGGTAGCGCGTCGAGCTCGTAACTCGAAGGTCGTGGGTTCAAGTCCCTCATGTGCCTAAAATTTATTTTGAAACTATTTTACACTATCCTTATGAACTTTTCAGAATTTTTCAAAAATATCTAGTTAATACTTCCTTATCGTCATAGTCATATCAAAGTAGAACGCATTAATGTCGATGTTTAACTAAGCATGTAATGAATTGCCGATCTATCTGAGGAATAAAATGCCGTTGTTGTTGAATTGCCGTGTGTTATCTGAGGAATAAAATTGTTGCTGTCTGTGTCAAATATTCTGACGCGAAAGCATCATAATTTTACCCCAGATAACTTTTATATAACTATTAAAAAATCTGCCCCTATAGTAATTAGCATATCAGTACAAAATAAGTATATATGTATGTATATGTATGTAAAATAAGTATAGGTATTTCAATTTCATTTCCAAAGATTTGCTGAAAATATATTTCTTCCACGGATCCGATAATAGCAATTAACAGTAACTGCTTTCTTATGCTCAAAGAAATTCAAACAACAACCGTATTTAGTTTTAAGCCGTAATACTTGAGCAATAACAGTTACTTAAAGTTTATAAAATGATGACTTTTGTTTTACTCATTTACATACATACATGTGTACATGTATTTCAATCAACTTTCGCCTTTCATGTACTAGGAAGACCAGTCTATCTGGTTTATATTCAAAACACTAGCACACAATCACTAACCAGTTAGCAGTTTTAAGGGTAAGGTGACCTTCAAAGCATGGATCAAATACATTACAAAACACAGCGTAAAACAAAGTTGCTTTCTCGTTCCGTTTATCGCTATGCATGTTTAAATCTTTAAAACTACGCAACGGATTTGATGCCGTTTTTTAAATAGAGAGAGTTATTGAAGACAATTTATATTTATATATGTAAGAACATCCATTAAATAATGGAGAAATCCAGTATCATCATTGAACCCGTGTGAATTCAAAAGTCGCTTAGAAACGAAAAATCAAAATAAAGTTTGACTTCAGTTAGACCTAGGTTTTCTTAATAAATTAATTAAGTAAATGTTGATCACTACGTTTCCGCATACAGTCTAAGCCTCAGAATATAAACAATATTTTAGTTAATTTGCTGAAAATATCAGTAATGTCACCTCAAGTATCCACCAAGGCAAGAGTGAACACGGTATCTCATCAACGACCAGAACCAGTCTCAAAGAGCCAATAGACCACACCACACCACAGACGTTATCTATAAGGCTGATGTTCTGCCGGGGTTGCGGGGGTAGGCGCAATGTGAAGAATGTAACGATTCTGTTACTTTTAAGTGTATTTAGACACCACTGACATACGGTAATAGAGACTCTCTCACGCCTTTTCCGGGGTACTAAAAAAGGGGGGGTCTTAAAAAAAGTAACTACTATCTACCAAGGCAAGAGTAAACACGGTATCTTTATATCAACGGATCCTACAAGATAGACGGTGAAATTTAGAAAAGAACATCTTCGTCACATAATGTCAGTAACATTTTTCAATAATATTGAAACCCTCTTTAAATGTACAGCATGTTTTATTTTGTCAGAAACCAGTCCAAAGATAATACTTTTCTTTTATTCAGCCTTGTTAGTCTTATTAAGATCGAACTTAAAAACGCGTTTTTTTTGCGTCTAGTTCACTGTTGGGCTTTTGTTATTCAAAAAAAATTTAATACTTTTTCAATGAAATTTCTTTTATTATTCAACAAGTAAAATCTTTTGAAAGGGCACCCTTTCTGTACACGTGCACCTGGTGTCCCGAATTCAAAGTATTTTTATTTTTGCAACTCTACAGCTTCCCTTTGAAACCAGCAAGTTTTAATCTACAATGTACAGATGGCGCTGTACTGTCCTTGAAAAACCTGGATCGCACTAGAATTGCGTGCGCGGACCAGTATAAAAGCGCCGAGATTTTTCCCCCAACCTCAGTGTGTATGTGTTAGCTATAAGTTAGCTTTAGGGCGGCCATATACAAGAACAAACCAGAACAGTGCGAGAAGCACTAATTTTTGAAAAGTCCGAAAGGACTTAAGAAACTTTATCATGTGCTAGCTTTTGTCCGCGACTCCGTTCACGTGGAATTGTGACTTCGTGCAGATTTTTGTTATGAAATGTGCCAAATTCACAGAAATCGGTTTATTAGTTTAGGCGTGAAGAAAAGACAGACAGACAGGCAGAGTTACTTTCGCATTTATAATATTACTAGCTACTCTCACGCGGTTTCACCCGCTGCTCGGTTCCTACAGATCGTAGCGTGATGTTTTATCATATGATGGCAGCATGATGTTTCATAGCCTACAGCACTCAGAAACATTGTAGCTATCTATCAGTAAATGAATTTTGGAAAACCGGCCGCGGTTCCAAAGATTACCCTCTACATACAAACTTACAAACATACAAACTTACAAATTTTACCACTTTTTAATATTAGTGTAGATATAGATATATAGTTTGGACTTTAAATGTTTATTTGAATTTAATACTTATTATATAAAGTATTGATATAATATTGTAAGGGAAAATAAAAATACTCAATGTGTATTACATTAGCTCTGTAACAGTATATAATTACTGGCTTATAAAAATTTAGATTTCTGTTTTGAAACTACTTTAAGGAAAACAATATAATTGGAATAGGTTTCATCGGTCTATTTTCTGGAAATCCTATTTGGGTGTCGGATATTGTGAGATGTTACGGATTGAGTCAGCACTACCATTGCTTTTTTTTAACTAGAATAACAAGGCCCGTGATAAGTAATAGTAGTAGCTTTATCTCGAATCAATAGTGGCTTATTTAGTCAGTCACGTCTTTAGTCAGAGGTAGACTCATCAGGCAGTCAATTGATTGAGACTCTTCGAATTTATTGCATAGTTTTATTAGACATTCTGAAATTATAATTTATCTAGACCACTCAAGAGTTTTGGGATGATCAAAAATTATTGAGATCCCTATCCACAGGCACTTATGATTTGCACATCAACGAACTTATAAAATTCGAAGTTTCTCTCGATTGCAACTTCTGCAAAACCCTTTTATTGAACCAAAATATTTTCTTGACTTATTTGAGTGCCTTAAAAACTAATCATTAATTATAAAGATTTCAACAAATTGGGAATAAAAATTAATCGAGTGATGAAATATATAGCTATCTATATGCTGCAATAGTAAACTTTCAATATCATTAAGGGTATTTAAATAAATTGCTCCATTAAATGACTTTTCCTGTATCTTGGATACGTTTACAAAAACATAATTTCAACTTTTCATCATATCCAGACCCGAAGCAACAATTTGTAGACCATACAAAGAGCAAGCAGGAATCAAACTCGCGACACGTAGCAGTCACGGATCAATAAAAGTGTGTGACAAATGTGGTAACGTCTTTCTAACAGTTATTTTTTTTATTTACAGGAAATCAGCCAACTGGTCGTCTGACAGCACTGATCTCTTATTAATCATGGACAACGGCTGAAGCCCCTTAACACAAAGAAGTAGGTAGGTTATATTAGTCTATTTCTTTATTGATTTTTTTATGGAATTGTTATTTTTAATCTTTATTTATTTACAGGGTTTTTTCTTAATAGAAAACACTCCGATTATTGATTATTATATACATTACAATTTTTGACGTCAAAAACAGACGTTTTTGAACCCCTATACGACTGCACTCGTCATACACGTCTTCGACTAGTTCGGTGTGGCATGGTAAACAATAAAAAAATTACCATCTGACATTACCCTCCAGTCCTGAGAAGGTATCCATTGAAGGACAATAGAATTATTACTAGCTACAATTCTGCTAATGGATTTCAAAATAGAGTCCGCCAGTGGAAGCCCTCTGAAAGGTGTAGTGCATTTAATAAGATGAAGAAGAGAACTTTTTGAATCGGTAAATACAACAAAGCGATCACCGTCTAAAGATTCTATATAATACAACGCTTCTGCTATAGCTATCAATTCTAAATGCATAATTGATAATGTAGCCATAATTTTGAGTTGGACAGAACCACCTATTTGTGGATCACTTAATGTTGCGCCGTAGTTGTGTTGATATCTTGAACCATCCTTGTAAATAGGGTAGAAGCCGTAATATGACAAATTAAGAGATTTAATACGAAGTGATATAAGTTGATGAGTATTAAAACAACGCTTTGGATTATCAACAGTTCAAAACCGGTTTGACGATATTTGATAAGTCCATATTGCTGACCCAAGTATCCATGGCAAACATGTGAGCCGTCTTGCTACAGTAAATTAGTTCTCCATTTAAAACATCACGTGTCCAAACAAGATGAGGTTTTTTCTTGATTCTCCAATATGTATTATTTATTGCATAGATGATGAAGCTTTCAGTATATAACACTTAGATTTTAGATAAAATTTACTAGCTAGATATTGGCAGCGAATAAATAGAGGGGGTAATGACAACTCGGACTCCATCACGTGTATCGGCGTACGACTTCCTCCGCCCTGGGAATGGCGAAGGGGTGTGCCGGACTCTTACCGGCTAAAACCACCCCGGTGTCTCCACGCACGTGCGCCTGGGGACACGGGAATTCTTCCGCTACCCCTCATTAGTGCTGGCCCACCCAGTGCGGGCCTTGTCTCATGCACGGGGTAGTGAGAAATTTAACTATCACCTAAGAGGCGCGCGCCGACACACGCGCACATTTCCGACTCGGGTCCACGTTTAGGGGTCGGGGTCTTCCCCAACTCCCTCACCCCTGGACCCATTTATGGGGGATGGAAAAGGGCGTTATCAGCCCTTCTCCTCCACCCGGTGCACTTTCTGCGGCCGGTAAAGGGAGTCGAGATCTCCCTCTCCCGCTCCGCAGCTTCCTTCGGATAAAGCTAACCTACGCTGAGCTACGGTTTGTGAAATTTCTGCAGACCAGTAAGGTTTGGGTGTAGAAACTGAAGAATTCTGAACGGAATAAAAATTAGGAAGAAAGTTTAGGCAATATTGATCTAATTTTAGAAGAAAGATTAAGCTGTTTAAGAAAAATCGCTTCCTTGATTCTGACCCACAACTCCTTTAAAAAAGGGACACTGTTCCTTTTGCAAGTCATCCTCATCAGACGACATATTATCCTTAAGACCTTTACCGCCTCCATCGGAATTCCATAATGTCCGGTCCTCGTCGTTGGATTTCTTTTGACACTTTGGCTTAATCTCAGATTTTTGGAGACGAGAAATAATTTCTACTGCTCTCTTTTCTTCATGAATCGTAACTTTTGTCTTGACGGTGTCGGCATAAGCTGGTTGACTCGACAGATCGGGATATATATTTTGTACAGGTGCAGGCTCAGTATTTCAACGTCGAAAAGTATCACCATACCTATGTGTTAGTAAAGTTGATCATTTTCAGAGGGAAGGAGCATTTCAGATAGAACATACATTTCTAAAGCTTTCCTATAAGATATAATTATAATATTAGCGACCAATCCTATATCTCCAAAACTCTTATTCCCAAAAGGCCAGCAACGCACTCGTACCTCCTCAGTTGTTGCGGGTATCTGAAGGCGGCGCCGATTGCTTACTTACCATTAGGTAATATCTTCTCATTTACCGTCTTCTACCATCTTCTTTTTTGCCGTCATTACAAATGAAAATAAAACATTTTTCAATTTAAACCTCTCCTGTATGTCCCGTATATTTATTGGAGACTAACGAACCACATGATCCACAGATTGTTGTTCCGAGTCTGGGTGTAATGTGTACTAGTATGTTTGTAAACGCGCCCTTGACACAGGGAAAAAGACGGTGTGGGGCTCTTTTAAAAAATATAAGGATTTGTCTACTCTTCTAACTTTAAATAAATGATCGTAACATAAATAGGAGTGAATTTCATCGACGCTCATTTTTTGGGTAACTGAAACATGTTTTTATAATATTATATTATTTACGTTTCATTCAAGATCTATTAAATATTACCAAATGTTACTGAAAGTTACAAAAAAGCTTTTTCAAAGTTATTGTAAGGTTGGCACAAATTATTTCCTCTTTCATAATGTAACGAGCAGACCCGGCAAACTTCGTACAGCCTAACAGTCAATGTCGTGTTATCTTTTTTAGCTGAACTAATTGAGGCTTTGATGAACTTAATGCAATGATACAAAATTAATATGAACATTGATAGAAATATAAAAGTATTTTATTATTATGAACAATACATCAGAAAGAGAATAGAAATAAAAATTAAGTGCCACAAACAGGTGTCAGATGTCAGTTGGCTGTTCATTCAAGCACCTTGTGGTAAACCACATTTTGTTTTTTTGTCAGGCGCAAGAACAAATAAAGCGGATGGTTTACCGACACGTCAACAAAATGCCATCTACAATTCTTGATTGAGATTTTAGATGCTTAGTACTAAAACTTTGACCATTGCGGATTATTTCGAAATGTTACATGTCGTTTTTTTTTTTTTTTTTTTTTTTTTTTTTTTTTTTTTTTTTTTTTTTTTAAATACAAACCTTGCCCCACATTAGGATTTTCTCCTGTGTCGTGGGTGCTGTTACAAACATACAACATACAATTTCACATACACAAGACACCCAGACCCGGAACAACAATTTGTGGATCACACAAAGAGTTGTTCCGTGCGGGAATCGAACCCACGACACGTTGCACGGCAGCCAGTTGCCCAGCCACCGCACCAACCGTGCAGTCAATCAGTTTGTTCTGTAGTTTGAAGGTTTAATGGTAATTTTAATTCTGAGTGAGCCATCCGAAGCAACTACTACCGCCATTACTGATCTCGCTCGTACAGTCGCCAAAATGAATGACATGGAATGTTTTTCGAGTGCCGCCAGGTGCATACAGAAAAAATAAGCCACCATTTCCATAATCAATATCATAAACTTCTCATTGTCAATGATTCAACAGTAGCACATTCGTTCGAACTGTTTGTTCTAATAGGTGAATAATATTCCAGTTCACGTTCCAATTCTCTATTAAAAAAGCGTCATTCAATCTGCGATCGGGCGCTGGCATTCTAAACCTGGCTAACAAACTACCGCTCGGAACGGGACGCACCGTGCGATCGAGCCTGGTTCAGATCGAGCGGCGAGCTGCTTACTCGCCATCAGTAGACCCGCGCTTACGGTGGCCGGAGATCGTCTCTCGATCGACGCCCGGAGTGTAGCCTGCTGAGGTAGCTGAGGCTAGGGGAGGAGGATAGCTCCCTCACGTGCTTCGCATACTTCTTTGCGAGTATAACTGCTTCACAGAAGCCGCAAGCCACCCTTCAAAGAGGAGATATAATTTTGAGATACAGAAATAATTGCTTCAGTGATTGTCGTGTCCCACAATGAGCATGGTATTTGTACACTTTACGATTCACAGTTCGTAGTGATTCAAATGATGTTCACCCTGGAACATGTATCAGTAACAACCGCAAATAGAAACATTCATCATTCTTCGGATGAACTGTGTAAATACGACCAAGAGTATCAGTAAAACGCATATCTGGATGACCAGGAACTGCATTGACTTGCTTCCTCGTTGAAGACCTCCAACGTTGAAATTGCTTCGATGTAGCGTTCCAAGTATAAAAACGTGGCATCTCTAAGTACAGCAAAGTTGGTGCGAACGGACCGCTTTGACAAATCGCAAAGAAACTGGTCAGTTCTGTCGCTGCAGTAGAATAAACTTTCCGACCGTTCTCTAAATGCACCCCCATGTGTACAATAGTGGGATGACGCTCCTGAATAGGGAATGAGAATAAACGCTAAATTGCTTCATTGCAGTTCACAAATCTACCGACTTGATAGCCCGTAATTTCATCGTTGGTATTGGATGTTTCGACACCAAAAATCGCCATGTCGCTGCCTTTCGTGACATATTTACAAATGTATTTAATTGCTTTGACTGAATTGAAATACCCAACATTACAGTGTGCCCTGAATGTTTTGGAAAGAAGTGGTGAATATGGAATATCCCAACTACTAACTATGATTGAAAAAGAGTAACCATGGAGTTTCTAGCTCGTTCTTCTCCATCGGAATCTACACTTTGGAACGAATAGCTTCACTAGAGGACAGACGGACAGACTGACACGCATAAATTTAAACCTATTGAAATGTATTTTTCTTTTTTTCTTTTTTGCTTGACGTTCAAAAGTGTCCACTGTAGCCTAATTGAAATAAATGATTTTTGACTTTATGGCGACCACAAATTCATTTCGTTTCACTTTAGTTGTGATAGTTCTACCATTATTATCAGGCGATCAACGCCTGTACAGTGGATAACCATTGTTGCCTGTGATGGTCTCTGCCGTCATTTTTCGTGCTACATCTTTTATAATTATGTTTAAGCAGCAACATAGACTACTGATACATTTATGAATGCACGCGTAAATGTTAATAATATGTCATTATTTGTGAACGCATTTCAACCATTCCTTATTGTATTTGACATTATGGACAACAAATGTTTGTCAGGTATGAAACATAGTGAAAATGTTTCATCTTTTATAATTTTGTTATCGTCGATTTAGATTTATTCTGCTATTCGGGGCGGAGACAAACCCAATGAACCAAACCCATGAAAATTGGTTTAGCCGATCTCGAGTTAGAAGTATTGTAACAAACCGGTCTTTGTTTTATGTATATAGATTTTTCATTACAGAAAACAAGTGTGGAAAGGTTTAACTTTCAAAAAAGAACGACAACTGAAACATTCGGTATTTAGTTTTTTATTTATTAATTTTATTGAGAAATTACATTTATATATCATGGTTTTAAAGCTAACAGTAAGAGTAAAACATTTTCAATAGCATACAACAATCGTAATACACCGACTTAAGCAATTTATCACAAGTACTTATTTTAAAAATTTAATTGCAAGGAAATTAGAAGGATTTCGAAGCCGCAAGCAAAAATAATATTTCAATACCTTTTGAAGACTCTTCTTCATGAATTGACATACTTATAATTGATATTTTAAAACACCAAACTAGCAACATAGTCCTTCACGTTGCATTAGCATCTACTTCACAACACAGTTAATACGTATGAGTTAAATATATAAGTAATAACTTGTCTTAAAATTCATAGACGGGACCCTACAGGGCTAGCACAATAAGGTACCTTGGCCTCGGCCTTAATCAAGAGAAGGAACAGTAGTATTTTTAGTCAGTAAGAGTCAGACACTACCTACCTCGGCTCCTCGGCGAGAGAAGCACTTTGACCATTATCCCTCGCAAAAAACCTTCAAAATTCGAACTTCCCTCTCTTTTTCTCTTTCCCCCTCTTACTTTCTCTTTTCTTCTTTTTAACCTTTCTGCTTCTCTAACAGTATTAACATCTTATTTTTCACTTTTCTTTCTACAGAATTTATGTAACGTCACAGTACCTAGTAGAATTGAAACATAATATCATATTCTATCATCATATCGAAACATTATTATAGGCGCGAATAGTTTTTAATTTTAGAGCAATACAAGATATTTTAACAGGTACCACAGTAACGATAAAAACGTTGACTTAAGTTAAAATTCTTAATTAATTTCCCAGTCTGTCGTAAACTCGATATTTTTATGTAGTCTTAATATCAACACTGAAATTACTTCCACGTTACTACTTGAATACTCAATTTCTGGTACATTGGAATATACTTAGTCTAAATACATATATAGGTATGTAGGTAAAACATTACATAGTAACATTCAAAATTCATAAAATATCACATCAAAGACACACTTAGATTAGTTAGTAAATAAAAAGGGAAAATCTCTAGTCAGTTTTGGACAGTCTGAAAATTGATATCGTACAATAAATAGAATACACTCAGAAAACTTTGTTACACACATACTTATTACTATTTTACTATTCCCGTACAGTTTCATCCGTTGCTCTTTTTGGTCGTGGCGCAATGTTATTTAGCCTATAGGCTATCTCCATAAAAGTACTATCCAGCAATAAAAGAATTGTTCAGTTCGAATTTATAATTCCAGAGCTTACAGCTTAGCTCTATAACATTAGTATAGATAGGTATGCAGGGTTATATATGTACTAGGCAACGCTAGGCCTTATACACATAAAAACCTGATTAAAGGTCAAAACATTATCTAAATATTTAGATTGACTGTTTTTTTTTTAATATTTCAAAAATTAGAAGAAAGTAAATTTCCATCTCATTTCATCAGCGTTTTGTGATATTTGTCACTTGTTTATAAATGGGAATTTAAAAATGATATGTATTTTTGTAGAAATATGACGAATGATAAAAATGTGTGTACGTAATTTAACACAGAAAATACACAGATTCATTAAATAGCAATAAGAGTTACAATTTTATATAAATATAGTTTCAAATAAATTATTATTATTAAACAAAAAATCTGATAATAAAGTTGCAGTAACTTTTTCCTTAAGCTTCGTCAAATAATTTTGTTTATCTTAGAAAATTTTATTTATTTAAGGTAAAAGAAAGTTTGAAACAAAAAAATATGTGATATTATTAATTCCTGATGAAGAGCAGGTGTTAGAACAGAGTAGTTTTTGTTAGAACGTGTGTGATACTCTCTGTTGCGTTACCCAGGACGGGAAAATCATTGGACGACATTGCCACCTCAAAAAATGGCCTGTTAAAATTTCACTAATAACCCTGCACGTTTTGGAAGAACACAGACATCTATAACTTTAGGAATAAACTAATTTTCTGAAGTAGAGAAGATATAGGTATATATAAATTTTCTAAACTGAATTGTCAGCATGTTTTAGTTCGCAACTATACGCTGACTTAAGGGTCGCTACAACATTTTCGTCCAATTCATATGCAACAAATTGCAATGTTGTCTGGTCTCGTTCGATAACTAGTAAGTAGTCCCGTGAGTCATTATCCGAAGGACTTATGCTGCTGGCTAGATCTTTGGGGATGGCCGTCTCAGTTGGTCCAACTGTAGCCGTTTGCAATGTTCCGCTGGTTGTGGCCATCACAACTGGGTTGTAAGTAGTGCCTATGGTGACCGGTTCCTTAAAATAGGCCAACTGGCACTCTCCACTGGTAGAACCCGTCTGAAATGATCCGTTGGTAGTGGGCATCAAAACTAGCTTGTTAGTGGTGGCTATCTGGGATTGCCCACTGATGTTGACCGCCTGAGCTGATCCGTTGATAGTGGTCATCATGACTAGTTCGTTAGTATTGGCCATCTGGAACTGTCCACTGGTAGTTACCGTCCGAGATGATCCGTTGGTAGTGGGCATAAAAACCAGTTTGTTAGTGGTGGATATCTGGGATTGTCCACTGGTAGTGGCCGACTGAGATGATCCGATGATAGTTGCCATTGCCACAACTGCGTCGTGAGTAGTGTCCATAAGAACTGGTTCGTTAGTATTGGCCATCTGAGATTGTCGACTAGCAATATTGGGGTCGGCTATCATGAGTGGTTCATTCGTGATGGCCATCTGGGACTGTCCACTGATAGTGGCGTTCTGAATTGGTTTGTTAACGATATCCATCTGGCATTTGATAGCTTGAGCTGGTCGGTTGATAGTAGCCATCATTACTGGTTCGTTAAAGTTGACCATCTGGGATTGTCCACTGATAGTAACCGTTTGAGCTGGTCCGTTAATAGTTGCCATCATTACTGGTTCGTTAAAGTTGACCATCTGGGATTGTCCACTGATAGTAGCCGCTTGAGCTGGTCCGTTGATAGTGGCCATCATGACTGGTTTGTTAAAGTTGACCATCTGGAATTTTCCCCTGATTGGGGCCGCCTGAGCTGACCCGTTGATATTGGCCATCATGACTGGTTCGTTGATATTGACCATCTGGGATTGTCCACTGATAGTAGCCGCTTGAGCTGGTCCCTTGATAGCGGCCATCAGGGCTGGTCTGCAAGTGATGGCCATCTGGGATTGTCCGCTAATAGAGGCCGCCTGAGCTGATTCCTTGATAGATGCCATTATGACTGGTTCGTTAGTATTATCTATCTGGGATTGTCCGTTGATAGTGGCCATCAGGGCTGGTCTGCAAGTGATGGCCACCTGGGATTCTCCGCTGGTATTTTCCATTTGAGCTAATTCGCTGCTGGTAGGCCCGAGGACCAGCCTGTTAGAAGTGGCGATCTGAGCTAGTTGATTGGTGGTGGTTATCAGGGCTGGTTTGTTTGTGGTCACCTGCACAGTCTTATACTGCAGTGCTTGATCAGCTTCAAATTGATTTTGCTCAGCTCCCGGTATAGCCTGAAATCACATAATAACGCTGTTAGCAAATACTAGTACTTACGGGTTTATTGCGTATTTATGTGTGAAATATCACTGTATATTCATTTTATTGTAGATAAATACATATATGTAATTAATTTGCAATCTTAGATTATTAGATAACAAAGTATTGTTATGATGTTTTGTAGCATAGTGGCAAAAAATATTACTTACCATCATTCCTTTCAGTTGATCGTTATATTTCGGCATTTTCCTTGGACTTGGTAGGAAGTCGAAGTGATGATAATACCAGAGCGTCGGCCTATATGGTATGTGATTTGCCTTACGCTCCTCGAACTAAAAAGGAAAATATATTATATGTTACAATCTTTGGTATAATTTCTTTTATCGATTGATTTTATGTAAAACACACAATGATAAAACATTAAATAAAAAATAAAAGTTATATATGAGAAACTCATATATAGGTATTTATCTTTAATATAAACTCTAAATCATTTGCTTAAATATTTTAATAACCAATATTACGAAACACTAAACTCGTCATCAATTGAGTGATAATTACAATGCACGGTTACACAGGCCACAAGCACGCAATAGAATAAAAATTAAATACGCAACGATTAATTAAATGCCAATCTAATATTTCGAGAAAGATCATTAGTAAATTAGCTACCAAAAATGCTTTTACAACAAAATAACTTCGCTAGTCGCATTTCGCCTAGAATAGTTGTCGCACAGCAAGGAAAAAACTCACGGCCAGATTATGTACAAAAAAAACTATAACAGTGTGTGACTTACCATTTGCCTCTGACGTGCGTAACGAGACCGCATTTGCGATACCTTCAACTTTACATATATTTCATTAGCATAAGGCTCAAACTCTCGCCACACTTTCACAACTTCATCCCAAGCTGAGGATTTCACTGCTCCATGACGGTAAAACAGATGTTTCATGTTCCATAGACAAGGATTATTTTTGTATTTCATCAAAGCCTTTGCAATTGTCATTGATGATTTACTTAATATTTTCCTTAGTCTTAGCGTCATTCTGTGTGCGTCCAAAAACTTTTTAGCCAGTGACATGTCACGATTACTACACTTAATTATATTTGGCGACGATTTTTAATATGTTCACTTTTATATATCTCTTTTTATAAGTCGAAGTAAAATTTGCATCACATTTTACACTTCTATGATAACACACTGACCAGAAATCAGCATATATATTGCTATGTGAAAAGAAACGTTCGATCCCTTTCATGTTTATAAACATATCACACCACAAAAAGAGATGACGAATGATGCCTGAAAACTTGTCTGGTTTGACAAGGACGTAAGTGATTGCAGCAGATCAATACATACGGGGGTTCGGAGGGGGATAGATTTTTTCTAGGAACAAATAGCTGTATACAACAGTGCGAAAGCTCTAAAATGTTTGATAATTTTGATTATTTATAATTTGGAATTGTATATGATTTATAAAATAATATTTGTAATAGTTTTACATTCATAAATTGTGTTATAACTAATCAAGGTTATGCCTTCCTAGACGAGCAAAGTATTTTATGCGTTTTGTATCCAAACAGAAGGGTTCGCCAAAATTGCGCCAAGTTCAAACTTTAGTCAAGCGATGCAATAAAAAAATTGTTTGGTCGCGTACATGGCAGACAATAGATACTAGTTGACTAAACAAAAATAATGTAGAACGCAATTAATTACACATTCTGACAAGTTATTCGTTAGTATTCTCCTAAACAAGTAATCCTCGGCCACTAACCATTTTTACGATCAACGTATTATAAGTCGTTAAATTTTCCTAACAAAGTTTAAGACATTTACATTTCTTATTTATTCGTTTAAATGAATTAATAATTGAATGTATAAGGATTGAATTTACTAGTTTAATATATAGTTCAAGAGTTGTTGATTCTAGATCATATTAAATTAGGTGGGGTGCGAAGCAGCGAAGCATGATTGTGTTATTGTTAGTAGTTTTGGCTCAATATTTTCATATTTTTTATTAATAATAGAGCAAGGAGGTGGATATACAATAAATCATTATCTAAATTTTATTAATTTAGTAAAATAGGTTGCTCGTAGTCGTTTTGCTGAAATAGTTCCGTAGCAAATGGCAAAAAACGGAATCCTTACATTCGTCAGTCTGTCTGTCTGTCCAACAGTATAGCCAAATTTTTCCGAAACTTTAAGAGCTACTGTATAAAGTAAATGTATATATGTGTATAAAGAGTATATAGAGAATCCCATCTCTAACATTACTTGTATTTTCTTTTAGATTCATGTTAAAAGCCTAATTAATGTAGTTCAGAACTAATTCTCAAAATAATATTTTTCTTATCATGAAACTTATGTTTATTTGTGGTTTATATCCATGAGTAGGTCATTAAAAATAATTTCGATTCGATTTGAAATGTGTCAGAGGCGAAAAATGGTTAGAACGAGATCTAATAATTATTTTCTCTTACTCTTAAATTGTAAAATTACTTAACTATCTTGAAACTCAAATATCAAAATGGCGAATTGATCATTTGAAAGCAATAATTATATTAATTTTGCGTTAGTAAAATAATAAAATGGAATCAATAAAAATGACGCTAGCTGGGGCTGGTTTAATTGTACGAATATTTACTTTATTATATTATAAAATATAATTCAGAAACATACAATAAAATTCGCAATAGCTATTTAGTTTTATTTATTCAGAAAAGTTAAGAAGAATGAATGAATACTACAAAAATGAAGTCTTTTAAAATGTATTTACGTACGTTTGACATTCTGTTTATAGTAAACTAAAATACAATTCAATCATATAGTTCTTAGAGTTGCCTATTATAGTTTTTTTTTTATTTCTTTTGTAATCATTTAATACAAAATAAAGTTGTGTCATATTTTTTACAATTTAAAATAGTATCAATTTACACACTGTATAATAATTACATTTTCGATAATAATTTATTAATGTAAATTTGTTTTTAACATTTTTAAATAAAATACGAATCTTGTTCCAGACTATTGACAACTTTTTTAATACGATAAAATAAATAACATTCAAGTACAAGTCGGAGAAGTACAGCTTTAGTTGAAAATAGAGTTAGCTACGCACCGACCTACTGGACACATTAAAGATAGGAATTATTAATATGTTATATTAATTTCTATCACACGTATATAATGTTAAATAGATACAGAACTACCAGGGTATCATAAACATCAATTTGTAGTAATAAATGGCAATACAATAATAAAATATAATTAAATTGCCTTCATTTTGAACACCAATCTGCATTAGACTAACCAGCGAAATAGTAATTTTCTTTGTTTTTTTTTTTGTTATAATAACAATTTGTTGTAGATAATCACGTCAATGACCTGGCAAACAATAAGTGGCGCTACGAAGTATGAATTAATATTTTCGCTTCATTTTCTGTGTATATATCATCTTATCTGTATTCTCCTTTCATTGCTTCCGCCCTTGGATACTTGCTAGAAATCTCTTCGAATTTGCTTAACTTAATTAGATTCCACTTAGCTTCTAACATCAATTAAGGAATTTTTCTAATGATTGTTTTAGCTTAGATGGCTTTACGTTTTGGAGCTGGTAGAAGGTCACAGCTAGAACGGGTTGGGCGAGCTCCACCACTAGATTCAACAATATCAGGCATGTTACTGCCAATGTAAGCATTAGCCCTGCCAGGCTGCACTGTGTGGAAACTTGGCAGCGGGCGATAGCTCCGCGGAAATTCCGTCGGTTGAGATGACGACGCGTTTTCCATGACTTCCATGCCGTTAGATGTCTGAGCGGGCTGGTTGGTTGAAGGATTTTGTTCTTGAGTGTTATTTGACGTTTCACTTGACATTTTTAAGCACTTTTTTATTTTAGTCTGTTGTTAGACGTTTTTATAGTCTGGGTAACGCTTGTTGTTGTTAACAATGACACCAAAGGATATAATTACACTAATGTCGGATAGTGGCTCTCCTATTCTATTGCCGCTTCGATCCGATGCTGTGCGTTTCTACAAACTTATATTTATGGTCCTTTAAATCTGTACATTATGTGATTGAATGTCATCTGATATCTCTTTTTATCTGATGAATGTGTTTATACGGACGAGAGGGACGGAGAAAGGAGTTTAGCACTTGTTGCCAACGCCAAAAATAATTCTAACCATTATCAAACTACTACAACTAGTAATTAATAAACAAGAAGCCATGCAAATTAAAATATTTCTCAAACGTAAAAACTTATAATAAAAGATTAAGTAACAGAGAATTGCGTATTAAGAAAATATTGTTTTTATTCTATGTCCTTCGTTTGATAGTGACATCTGTTGAAGGGATATGAAATGCACGTTGGTTCCAATTGCGGTTTAAAAACATGATGTCGCTACTGACCTCAAAATTAAATCTCACCCCAAATAATGTTTAGATATGTCCTATGTAGTACTCCTATTTTATATTAAAGAAATAGTTCATTGAAGACTCAGTTCAGTAGCAGTATAATTTATTTAATAAAAGATGCGTTTAAAACTTTCGTTAAGCGTAAAAAATATTCCCTTGTTTCCATGGCAACAGTACCGCAACTTTTGTACCATTACCAGGACGCCAGGATTTATAAAAGGTGTGTGCAGTTGGTAAGCAAGCTGACAACTATCAAATGACTCGCTGCAATTCTGTATTTTCTAACTAATATACGACTTGACTAGTTCTCATGTACGAATTATTGTGTTCTATGGCTGGTTACTATCAGAAAACCAAACGTTTTTGGAATTATAAAACAAAAAACAAAGAGTTAACAGGTTTAGAAATTTTGAAGGCTTTATAATAATATATAATTATATAATTTGAATATAATTTGTATACCTTTTATTAGGTCTCTCTAATTGCAATCCACTGAGCTCAATTTTGAGCTCTCCTCATCCAATCACAGCCAGACTCTTACGGACATCGTCAGTCCTCCTAGCTGAAGGGCACCCTCTACTGCGTTTGCCTAGACGTGGTCCCCACCTTAGACACGTCTATCCCAACGGTCAGCAGTTTGTCAAGCTTAGTGGAATGCAATTGAAGAGGCCTCTATGTCCAGCATTGGATCAGGCTGATGTTGGTGATCCAAACTAATATTATAAATCCGAAAGTAATTCTGTCTGTCTGTCTTTTCTCCACGCCTAAACTATTTTACCTATTTCTGTGTAATTTGGTACAGACATAGTTTGGAACTCGAGAAAGGAGATAGGATAGTTTTAGATAGGATAGTTTTAGATAGGAAGTCACTATTCAAAGGCAAAAGCTATTGGTAATGTAGGTAATCGTAATTTATGAGAATCGTCGTGGTGGCCGGAGGTTTAAATGCCTGCTTCACGTGCGGGTGCAAGAACGGGTTCGATTTCTGTCAAGTACCAATGTGACTTCTTCAGAGTTAAATGTACAAACGTTCTAAGAATATTTAGACACTATAGACCTACTATAGGGAAGGAAAACATCGTAAGAAAACCTGGACTATAATTTATAATTAAAAATTCGAAATCGTGGTAATAAATGAACGTTCTCCGCCTAAGAAGAGGCCTATGCTCAGAAGTGTGACGATGTGATGATGTGAAGTTAAAAGAAGTCATTCTATTTTGGTTGCTTTACTTAAATAAAGTTTGAAGAATGACCATTGAACTAGCAACTATACGAATCTCACTTCTTTTGTCGTTGAAGTCTACTACGAAGACATGATATACAGAACTCGACTCTCATACCGAGATTTCTGGCTTAATAACCGTTTGAGATATGTTTATGGAACGCATATATCTCACAAGTCTTACCTATAGATGAAGATATGAGGCTATGTCTATGTTCAATAGTTTTTAAGTTATAAGGAGGTCAAAAGAGGATTGTGTAACACGCAGTCCTACTCGCCAGTTCTGTTACTTGAATTTAGCTTGCCACGCTCCCGCTTTTCGTTATGATGAACCAGGATACAATGAAAATAAAAAAATATATGTGTTCCCGTTTTCCAATCTGTTTTTGTTAGGCACATCAACCTTTTTTGTGGAGGTAAAATCATCAAATGACTTCTCTCGCCCAGGGTATAGCGAGAAGAAGTGTCAGACTCTTACTGACTAACCCCCATGCGTATCTTAGTCTGTCAAATATTTTCTTTTTCAAAGATACATAGATAATATACATTATGAATATCCTCCCTTCCTCCACCAGAGGAATGAAATGTTATAAGCCATTTCTTCAGAATCCAGATGCTCACTACGACGCTAGAATACCTGACTACAAATTTAGCATCCTGGGTCATCCCCTACTATTATATACGAGTGTCATGTGAAACTTTCACGGGTTTCAAGATTAAACACGAAAAGTCACAACCTATTCCGAACGCATGACGAAAAATACCAATATTAGTATAAAATAAATGTTTTTTTACCTATACAATAATTATTATTTCTATAGAAAAAAATACGTGTGTTAAAAAGTATTAACACACTCGTAATATTTATACCCATTTAAAAGTTAACTAAGATGAAATCCTGAAAATCAACACAGCTGTGAAACCTAATAAGCCTCTTGGCCTATTGGAATGAAGCGCGTGCCAAGAGTACCAGAACAACATAAATCACACAGAGTTACATAATGCGACGTTGCTTTCACCCTAATAAATATCACTTTATAGGTACCTAGGTACTGTTTTTACCTCCATATTTTTCGACTTAACATTTTCATTTTTAATTTTATTAGAAATAATTTAATTCCTATTACAAAAGGTATAATATTTATTGAGTCCACAGAAACAGCTATTTGAGCTATTTAAATTGATTATAACAATTTTGTGTAATCATCTGAGGTTGCATAAAAAATAATGATACAAAAATATCATACTTTTTATTACCAACAGACACGGTTGGCGAATGTTGTTGAAAAAACGTACCTTACTAAGTTCCACTATTTCTAGGTAGTATAAACATATCAACCTATTTTGATTAATCTAACTGTTTACCACTTGTTCCAAACAGTATCTTCAATCGAATCATTTAATTAAACTTCTAATATTATGAATGAATGATGATATGATATTATTATGAATCCCTGTTTCGCAAAGTTCTGTTGTACTAGGAGAACAGTAATCCAGAAGAGCTTTCATTGTCAGAACATGAAGATTTTCCGACTATCCCGTGTGGCGCTAGCGATAATGAGTGAGATTGGTAGGAGTTAGGAAAACAACATTTGCTGTTTGTTTCTAAAGTGATAGCACATATGAGGTTATCGGTAAAATATCACTCAAAATGTTGATGAAGTTAACACTAAAGAAACTACTAAAGAAACTAAAAGTTTCAGTAGTTCCATCAGAAAGGAGTTTGGTATAGACAAGTGGGAAGTTTAGCAAAACGAGGTGGGATAGTCGAATCTGAGAGTGAACTGAGATCACTCTCTGCATATCGTTACAGTAGTCCTTCTTTGGCCGCCTGAGAAAGGTACTGATAAAAGTTCGTTGGCAGGCGGTAACAAAGTGAGGGCCTTTATTGGCTGGGTCATGCCTATTCAAATGGACTCAGACTGAACTTGACTCTTTGAATAGGCAGTCCGGACACGGCTGACTGCAAATCGAATGCATCGTCCTCGTTCGTCGGTCATGAGGTTGTACATCCCGCGAAAGTGCAGGGGCTGAGGCTTTTGAAATGCTAAGACCCTTCACAACCGTGAGGTGTGCAATCTCAGAGAATATTTCCTAAAAGTGGACGAGGATATGTTTCGAAAAGTAGTCGCAGTGGACAAGGAATTCACACCACTATCCCCGGCGATGCCCCGGATCCGGCCGTGCCAACGCAAGCGCCAGGTGTATTGGTGGTCGCAGGAGCTGGCTGCCCTGCGCGGTGAGTGCACCGCGGCGCGACGCCGATACACCACGTACCGCAGGCCCCGTATCCGCACTCTGGACGCTGAAACTAGAAAGGCGGCGGTGAACGAGGAGTACAGGGCGGCGAAGGCTACCCTTAGGGCGGAGATCCGGCGGGCCAAAGATCGGGCCCGCGACGCCCCTACCGGATAGTGCGTGACAAGCTCCGCACCTGGGCGCCCCCATTGACTCAGAGTCTCCGGTCGTCTCCGCCCCCTGCGGTGCCCAATGCGGGCCACAATGACGACGACGGTGAATCCGTTCCGGAAGTGACCGAGGTTGATTTGAGAATGGCGATGCGCCGGCTGAGCGCTAAGAATACCGCCCCGGGACCTGACGGGCTGCATGCCAAGGTTTGGGTCCTGGCTTCGGAGGCTCTCAGGTCTCGACTAATTGGTCTGTTCAGCGCATGTTTGGAGAGAGGCCAGTTTCCGCTGTCGTGGAAGATAGGTAAACTGGTCCTCGTGAAGAAGCCGGGGCGTCCTGCAGACTCTCCGTCCGCGTACCAGCCCATTGTGCTGCTCGACGAGGTGGGAAAACTGTTGCTCAACGCCAGTTCCTGGTGTCCTCTCGTCGGGCACCTGTCTGGGAGGGGACCGGATTTAGCAGAAGGCCAGTTCGGCTTCCGCAGAGGGCGTTCCACGGTAGTCGCCATCATGCGCGTGAGAGACCTCACGACGGGGACTGCGTTGGCCAGGGGGCGATTCGTCGGCAAGAAGTTGAAGGCGTTGGCGATGTACCAAAGACACCGCGTCTTTGGTACATCGCCAACGCCTTCAACTTGTTGCCCTGGAGCTGTATTCCGGAGGCACTCCGGTATCACCGGGTGCCTGCCTATCTCCGTCGTGTAGTCGAGGCTTACTTGACGGACAGATGCGTCATCTACCCCGGTCACCGGGGCGTGTGGAATCGGCGAGAGGTGTCGCGCGGTATTCCACAGGGATCGGTCCTGGGACCTCTCCTGTGGAATATCAGGTACGATTGGGTGCTACGCACCGACCTCCCGAGTGGCGTCAGCATTGTCTGCTATGCTGACGACACGCTGGTGCTGGCGAACGGGAGGTCGCATCAAGCACAAGCGGTTGCGACAATCGTTGCAAGGATCCGCCAGTTGGGATTCGAGGTGGCGCTCCACAAGTCCGAAGGCATGTGTTTTTATGGCCCTCGGAACACTCCACCTCTAGATGGGTCCCAAATTACGGCAGGAGGGGTAACCATCGGCGTCGATTTGGCGATGAAGTACCTGGGTCTCGTCCTCGACAGCCGGTAGAACTTCTCGGAGCATTTCCGCCGTTTGGCTCCTAAGTTGGAACGGACTGGGGCCGCGCTCAAGCGGCTCCTTCCCAACCTCGGAGGGCCAAACGCCTCCTGCCGGAGGTGGTATATGGGGATTGTGCGATCCATGGCCCTCTACGGGGCCCCTGTGTGGGCGCCAGACTTGAGGCGGCGGCCAGCTCGTACGCTGGTCGCGTCCCAGAGGGTCATGGCTATCCATGAAGCGGCGAACCTCCTTGCGGGATCACCGCCGTGGGATCTGGAAGTAAAGGCGTTGGCGCACGTCTACAGTTTGCGCGCAGACGCGCGTCGCCGGGGCGAGGATCCTCTGCCGCGCCAAACTAGTGCGTGGCGGAATGAGCTCCGGCGAGATCTCATGGCTGAGTGGAAGCAACGACTGTCGCAACCGAGGGCCGGGCACGCTGCTATAGCAGCTGTAAGACCCCTCTTTGAGGAGTGGCTTGAGAGACGCCACGGCGTCCTCACCTCCCGCCTGACGCAGGTTTTTACTGGGAACGGCAGCTTCGGTAGGTTCCAGTTTCGCTTCCAGCGCGAGGAAACGCCCCAGTGTCACCATTGTGAGGACCACCTAAAGGACACGGTGGAGCATACGGTGGCGGAGTGCCCTGCTTGGGCTGAGCAACGCCGTGTCCTCGGGGCGGCGGCGACCTCTCGCGCCCGGCTTTAGTCGAGGCCATGGTTCGAAGCGAGAGGAACTGGGAAGCTGTCTCCTCTTTCTGGGAAGCAGTCATGCTCGCAAAGAAGGGGGCGGAGCGTGTGAGGGAACTATCCTCCTCGCCGCCGCAGTAGGCGACATTCCGGGCGTCGAGGATCGAGACATGATCTCCAGCCACCGTAAGCGCGGGTCTGCGGACGGCGAGTAAGGGTAGCTCGCCGCAGGCCGACGACGCATTTGTAACTCCTCTAGTCTTAAGTGTGTCCATGGGCGGCGCCGATTGCTTACCGGCAAGAAATCCTTCTGCTCGCTAGCCGTCCTATTACAAAATAAAAAACAATTTATTATTGTTGGCAGATACTCGACGCGGAAGATCACTTTGGAGACGAAAAAGAAGACCAGACCATCGGTCGTCTCATGGTTGAATGGAGGTTCGAGATGATGGAGATGATGGATGAGGTCAGGACGATGGAGCTCAAGCACAAGAACTCCTTGGACCACGTGACGGACTCGAGGAAGGAGAGAATGAACTGAACAAGGTGAGTCTTATTATAATCCTATATTTTTACCGTCAAACGAATATGAAAAAATACCCATGCTTTATACGATACCCCTTTTATATGCTAATTCCCATACGCCCCCTACAATTACAGATTTTGCTCGTGCTGATATCCGTAAATTATGCTGTATTTATTATGCTATTAGAATTTCCTCTTTTTTTACAGATCAAGTCGATGAACAATTGGACGGATCACCTGATACTCAGCGCCAGCCAGGACACCTGCATCATCGAGCGCAAATTCGTTTCCGGCCTTTCTAGTTAGGGATTTGAAGATGGATTTTGGGGATTGGAGATGAGGTAAGGGGAAGGGAAGCTTGTTAAACTTAGCTTGTTTAACATAAACCTCTTCTCAACATATGTGTAATAAAGTGTAGTAAATATGAAATATTTAGAACCAATTTGTATAGAGAGTCAATAAATCTGATATGCTATTTATTATAATTATATGAGTAAAACAAGAATGACGTGAGGATGAGGACGATGAGTTTTATTTATTTCAAATATTATAATATTAATATACAATATGTCAGACATATTCTCAGGGAAATAAAATTATACAATACATTTCACATTTGTAATGATATTTTTTATGTATTTATTATTGTAACAGATAAATAAATAATAAATCTGATACAACACATTTTCTTACAGAAACACATGAATACTATTCCACAAAATAATATTCCTAATTCGAATATGATACAATATGTTTGGCATTATATTAATTTACTAATTATTTATTACACAAGACATATATATTATGATATTGTTAAAATAAATCAGAAACATTTTAAATTTGTGTTCTATTTATTTCTTAAACACACAAGAATTACAATTATCTAATTAAAAATAAAGTATATGACATGAATCTAACCTAATATTATACAGGATACTTTATAATTAGAATGATAATATACCCAGTGAGCCTCTTATCATTTCAGGGGTGAATATAGTGATTTTTTTGGATATACTTTGTCTATGAAAAGTTGTACTTCTAGGTAACAGCAATAAATGTATAAGCTACATCAATGCAGAAAATTTTGGAAAATAATTTAAGGTTAAACAGTCAAAATTAAGGAAAGTGTGTTGAGTTGTTCATCTAAGTGTTGATCCAAGCTATAATTCTTCGCAATATACATAAATGTATGTCTTACTTTACACAACATTGAAATATTCTTGACGAGTTTATTAATTTAGATTTGACACATGAGAAAATCCTAGGGCTATAATTAAAAGACAGCTACATATCATATTTATAAATCGATATTACATCAAAAGCTCTTCACACTGTTTTCACATTAAAGATCTTAGTATATTTTTGTCACTACGCAGCCAATTACCCTGGTCTTCTGCAATAGCTTAATTCTTTCATTGTGAGTGTTGTTAACATGATTTATGAAGTTGAAAATCATTGTATCGATGCATTTGAAACTGAGTAATGGTAAATATGTAGTTTTCTGCCCGCTTCTGTAGACTAAGGAACTCATTATCCTTAGCACCTCCTATTTGATGAGGATTTCCGTGATATAATGTCATTGAGTTTTAGTCCAACTGCATGGTTGCTGTTATGAGAAATCGCTCCGCGTTTGAACATCTCTTCCTTCATACGAAGAACAATATACAAGCGTTCAATTGGTTTACATAATTTCAATACTTCATCCAATCTTTGTAAATAGAGATGTGGGTTATCCGCGATGTTTCCCACCTCGGCAGTCATCGCTTTGGCTTTGCACATTATGAACCGAAAGCGCATATGATCAAATTCACGATCAAGTTTACTATTACGAGACATTTTGAGATTAATAAGAGTGCGTTTCGTTTATTCCTTTTAAAATAGTTATGCGTCCGTTCAGTCCGCAAAGTCCCACGAACGTCGGCGCGATACTACGTAGGTTTTGCTGCGCCCCCACTCCCCCTTCACCTGAGTATCGATCTGAAGTCGCCAGTTAGTACGTATTATCCGAATATAAATGTTTGAGGAATTTATAGTCTCTCAGTAAAGCAACTAAGTGACAATTACATTACATGTCTGCATAAACAAATATATATTGAGAGCGAAATTGTAATCATAATCATCATCAGATTATCATCAATAAAGGTCACGATACAAAGTACATTATGGTACAAGCAATGTTGGTGATTACGGCTGAGGCGCATTGAGGCCGGAGCCGTCAGGCGAGGGACTTGAGAAGCCTTAAATAACTTCAAAAGAGAAAACGAGACGATTTGTGAAAAATTTTCGTTATGGCGGGAAAAAATAATCAGTTTTCCTGTGCGCGCGCATCGACCATAGACTATAAAATAATTGTTTTTAGGCTTTTTGCGGATTGCGTTTTAGCTCAAGTGTAAGCGTAACTCAACCAATAATATAAAATAAACTCACTAGTGAATAATAGTGATGAAAAAGTCAGTTTGATTGTAGGTGTCATTATGTGCCTAATTGCCTTGGGATTAAAGCCACTTTATGAGAAAGTGTGGTGAAAAAAATATCTAATCTTGCTATCGCTCCTCTCACAAAGTTATATAGGACACTAGATACGTATACGCAAATTTGCGTTGCGCTGCGTTCGTCAGTTCTAAAATCTTGAAAACGACTTCGAACTTATTTATTTAACTTTATACTAATACGCAACATATCCAGGTCTAAAAAAATTAAGTAATAATATTTCTTTAAAGAGTTAGGCATAAAAACTCCGCAGCAACTGGACTTTAAAGATTCTTGAAATAAGTTATTACTTGTTACCTTAAAATTTATTAGCTTGGCTCAGAAAACTTTGGGGTATTTATTATAGCGATGTTATTAAGCCAAGGAATTCATCATCATCAGCCTTTACGTGCCCACTGCTCTCGTGCTGCCTCTACTCACATGGAGATAATCACCTCAAGGCGGATAGTCGATTTCAAACTTATACCTAATTAGAAATTATACGTCCAAGTTTCCTCACGATGTTTTCCTTCACTGTATGTCAGTGGTGTCTAAATAATCATAGAAAGTACATATAACTAGAAAAATTCACATTGCTTCTTGCCGGGGTTCGAACGTGCGCCCTCATACATGAGAAGCGGGCGCCTTAACCTCCGGGCCACGACGACGTGTTACTAAATTACTCAAACAGAATATCCGTAGCGTAGACGGAAACGTGCGGAAATAAGATGGAAAACGCGACAGAAAGAGCTGGGCTTTTTGCGTTGCAAAATGTGAAAACTTTGGTTGCTTGCTTGTTTTGTGGTTGTCGAACAATGTGGTGCTCTATGCCGGTTTTCAGTACGGGTATGAATCCCGTCGAGATAGCTATTTCGTGCCCAAGCATAGACCACACCTCGACTTCATCATCATCCTCAGCCTACAAGTACCCACTGCTGAGCAAAGGCCTCTTCTCACACGGAGAAGGTTTGAGCATTAATCACCACGCTTGGATTTTTTTATAATTAGAAATTATGAGTCCAGGTTTCCTCACGATGTTTACCATCACCGTATGTCAGTGGTGTCTAAATAATCATAAAAAGTGCATATAACTCGGAAAAAGTCACATTGGCCAGGTTTTGAACCCACACCCTCATGCATGAGAAGCCCGGAGGTTAAGGAGCCCTCCAAAACCTCCGGGCCACCACGACACCTCAACTTTACTAAATCTATATTGTTTTATGGGATATGTCGGCAAACTAGGAGACAGGTTACCTGATGGTGAGCATCACCAAAGAGTTTCGGATATTTAAGGATTGGGAAAGTATGGGGGATGGGAAAGACTTTTGGGCCTTTGGTAACCTCACTCAATCACAACTTTATGGTTTGATTTACACCTGTTTCCTGAGAGGCCGTGGTATCACTCCGGCGAAGTTGACCTATTTGTGACGAAGCTTGACTCTCCTATACTCGCATATTTTGCAATGCCTCCATAATGGTTAGAAATACTTCAATTGACCACAAGGTTGGCAGTAGCTGGGCCACGGCTGAAGTGCGACATGTCCCGCGTTCAATTCCAGCGAAGTTGTCAAAGTTTATTTTATTAACGCCCGGTTTCCGAAAGGCCGATCAATGTTAAAATCAATTTAATCTCTTGTCAAGTCATCTGATTGGTTGATTGAATTATCAACAGCCAATCAGATGACTTGACAAGATATTTAACAGGAGATTAGTTAATTTTAGCGTTGACAAGCCTTTCAGAAACCGGGTGTAAGTCTTCATTACAAGCCTATACATAATTTTTATACTAACACTATCTAAGTATCTAAACACTCAAAACGTATGAAAACTATTTATGCTCACGTTGCATGGTTCTGGAAAAACTTGCACGTACTATAACTAGATGCATAAAGAAGTATGTAAGGTTGGTTGTGCATGTCTACATTATAATTATTCAGTTGTTTGATAGCAAACTTTTTATTTATCAATTGTTTTATTTATTTATAATGTTGGCCCAAATAAACTAAGTCTTTTCTCCGGTGTCGTAAGTGCATAAAACAACAATTTATAGATTGTTTGTTTTGTGCGGGAATCGAACCTGTGTCGACTGTGCAGTCGATCTGTAAGTAACAGCAAAGAAATACATCGATATTGCCCAAAAACAGACATTGTGATGCCATAAGCCTACAAGTGCAGTAAATACAGAGCAAAGGCCTGTTCCTACACGAGGAAAATTTAAGCAGTCCAGATTGCATCATTCTGCAGTCCCCCAACTTGGTTCAGGGGTGTCAAAAAATTCAAAAAGTACGAGCATTTTACCAAGAAAAAGTCACATTATCATATTTCAAGCCCTGATTCCTTTTTCAGGCTTGGAAACCTCTTATTTTGTCATAGCACTTCTAACGAGCTGACGGATTACCTGATGGTGAGCAATCTAAGACTCTTTCCAGTTATTAGGGATTTAGGGATAGGGGGAAAAGTTTGATCCTCCGGTGAACTCACTCACACAACGAAATACAGCGTAATTGTTGCTTCGCGCCAGTTTTCTGTAACACCGTGGTATCACTCCGGTCGAGCTGGTCATTCGTGCCGAAGCGTGGCTATCCTACACTTATTTAATTCCTTATACTTACTTATTTTCTCATTTTCATTATGAAATGGGCAAATCTCAAAAAACTCAAATAAAGTTATCGTGTAAAGGTATATTACCTTTACACTATAACTTTATTTGAGTTAATGTTCTTGTTGCAAGCAATTAAACTATAGTGTTTGTTATTTCACCGAACCAATTAACTTGGAAAGTCTGTTATGACAATTTGAGTTCATCAAACTTAAGTAGCAATTTCATTTAAGACAGA